TTACATAATATTAATCATAAGAGTATTTTTATTCTATCATCTATTTTGCATGTCTAATGTCGCCGGTATTCGATATTTATAATCGATGCCATTAAATTGCGCCACCTTTCCTTTCTTATTCCCAAAGTTTTCATATCCATATCATCATTAAAAGTCATCACCATCACCATCTCCATCACTCTCAAGTACTGATGACCTCCTGAAAGTTACTCCAAGAACACGAACAACCCCCCGTTCCTCCATCGAAACCTCCCAGTGACGAATCGCTAGTATTCGAGAAAACGCTGGGAGCCGGATTGATGATATTGCCTCCAAACGCTCTATTCTCCCCATTGACTTCTCCGCTATTCGCTATGATGCCTTCTCTTTCATTCATACCATAACAGTACAACAATTTCCTTGCAGGATCACCTCCATGTCTGTCTGTTGTGATAGTAATCGGATAAGGAAACGATCCAGGTTGAGAGAAATCTTGTCCGGAAATAACTGTAGATGTACCAGTGGAACTAGTAGCATTGTTGAGTCTTGCAGTACCATTCATCTTCGTCCACATTTGTACCAAAAATCGAGTTTCACCCCATGTGCAACGGAAATTGGCTTCTCCTTCAAGAGCACCGCCATTTTGATCGTCGGGAACTTCACCGTTAGAAGTATTGGTATCGTTGAGTAATGCGAGAGATTTGAGGAAGATAGTTCGGTTGAAATACGTGTAGAATCCATAATGTTCGGTAGGAAGTCCTCGGTCGTAAAGATGAATGGGTTGTTGGACGGGATATGGGAGAAGATTGGCTGGGGCAGCAGTACCATCGGCGTTTAGACTTGGAGCTGGTATGCCCGTTGTGATATTTGGGAATAGATCCGGATCCGTATTGTTCGAGTCCGCCCGTTTTACACGATTGCTAACTGTTAAAGATGTGTTCGTAGTCGATAGGAAAGATATATAGAAGGGAGTTGGTTCCCCGGCTTTATTGACTGAAACAATTCCATCTGTAGTATCGCCCAAGAATGCCTCTTCGGCGTAAGGTGGTGGAGGTGGAGAGGGACTGAACGTTATGGTTTGTCGTGCTTTCAATATTAAGTCTCTGATGAAATTTCTCGCAGAGACGGGATTGCCGACAAGACTTCGTGTAGGGAGGTCTTTGTTCCCCGTCACGTTCGCAAAAGTTGCATTTGCCGCACTACTATTGTCCCATTGTATCTGTAAAAGGAAGTTGGGTTGGTTTGGTAGGTTTGGCGCGACAGAAGACTGTTGCTCCTTGGGTAAAGCACAACTCCATTGCGTAGCAGGAAATACACAACCGGTATTCGTTACTATGTTGACTGGAGCTGCAACTGTCGAGAGGCCCGCGTAGATAGGCGGGAAGCCAGTGAGGTTCAACCATTGAGATTGCATCACAACATGTCTTGACTTGCGAGTCAATGTCATTGCAAGAGCTACAATTACAATGATCAATAAAAGCAATGCAATGAATATGCAGCAATACCATCTTCGTCTCTTTCGACCTTCAGGACCTTGTCGACCGTGACAGCCACGCTCGGGAATGCATCCTCTGCCGGCCCAAAGCCACCCTGCTTTGCGAGCTATTCTATCTTCTTTTTCATTCTTATGGCGTTTGGTTTCTGCCTTTTTGGCAGCTTTAATGGCAGCTTTATCTGCCATTTGCTGGAGATATTCTTGAGTCATGATCAAGAGGGTTGGGGTTGTTTGCCTATCAGGTCCCGGATATGCCGTGTTCTGATTAGTTCTACCACGCGAAGGGCTTAGTGGAACCTCCGACAGCTGAATACTGCCTTGCGAGGTTATCGCTTGGTGCATGCCTGGGGATATGGGGCCAGGTGAAGCAGGATAATGCAAAACTGGAGCGGGAGCTGGAGCTTGAATTGGAGCTTGAGCCGGAGCCGGAGCTGGTATCGGATTTGGATTTGGAATTGAAGTTGATTCCTGTGAGGGTGGAAGAACGGCTCGATATTTTCGGACTTTTTTTGGCGATTCGGTATAAGGAGGTGGTGGTGGTGGAGATTGAATAGTGGTATGAGTAAGAAGTGTTCTAGATTTTATTTTTGTATCAGTCGTGTCCGCGCTTATATCCATACTCGAGGTATTATAAAGATCAATGTTACTATTTTGGTACCGAACAAAGGGATTATTGCTTCCGACTTCTTTTGTTCTATTGGCTGCGGATGACATCGAATTGTCTTTGTTGACCGAAATAGAGTCACATCGCGACAAATTCGAAACGTTTGAATGACCATGAGGCGCCATTGAATTTGCAGGATTTGCAGAATTGACCGTGGTACTCGAATCAGTGATGCTAGTCAAAGTCGCGTCTCCCACATCACCCGAAGCTGAACGGACAAAGGGTAAAGAAGTTAAAGACGGTTTCACCGTATGTCTCGTCTCTCTGTAAACTAGAGCAGGGGATTCTTGTTTCTCTGATCTGAAACCCAAGGGTGTCACATTCCACCAAGCGTCGGATACATTTGAAGTTGGCCTTTTAATTGAAAGGGGAGAAAATAAATTTTCCCAAGACTTTCGCTCCTCTTTGGACTCCTGAGCTCTGGCGGCTGCAATGGCTAAAATAGGAACTTCAGGAATATTCGAACCCTTTTTTTCTGGATATACCAGTGTATTTGACCGTGTCAAGAATGGCGTTGTGATATAATTCCACCATCCTTTCGAACGAGGACGCACAGCAGTGGTGTCGATGCTTCCATGATTGTCTACTTTCAATGCATCTGCAACGGAGACTGCACGAGCGCTTCGCACGATTATTGGATGTTCATCCTCCTCATAAATAATACAGGACGACAAAACTCGACTTGAATATGGTTCGTCATCCCATTCAGTAGTGGCATCCGAATCTGGAGAAAAGTAACTATGCTGAGCCGCCACCCTCCTCTTCTCCTCCTCGGCCAAAGCTGCTGGCATCGTCGGCAATGGTGGTGCTCCCTCTTTGAATGGTTCATTGGGACTGACTACCGTATAAGATGTTGATAAAGTTCGTGCTCGCGAGACATTCGAAGCGGTACTATATGGCGACCACGCAGAGATATCATGTGCAGGCGTGACGACGATAGAAGGGGTCGCTTTTCCTGTCAGCGTCTCGTGCCCCCGGTTCCCCATAAATGTTGATGCGATTGAAGTTGATGTTTGAGGAGTAGTTGTATGATGAGCTAAACGTGCAGATGGGATGGAAATGCCGATAACGATTGGGCGGTCGTTGGGAGATAGGTCATCCTCTAACTTCAGATTTGTTGGCTTTGAAGAGCCCCGTCGCTCTGCTAGTGGAGAAACAGTCGGAATTGTGCTCTGTACCGGCTCCGGCGCATTGGCTTTGGTCTTCTCGGGAGATTCGACGGCTTTGCTCTTCAGCGATTTCCATAGTGTTCCATTGGGATGAGCTGATACATTCTCTAATCTTCTGAGGGTTGCCAAATCGACAAAATTTCCATTGGGTCGAGATTTTTGTGAAGAAACCACTCGAGGTTGAGGTCCATGGTGTGTCGAGAAGTTTGTTTGGACTACGATTCCAAGTTTCACATTAATCTTGCGCTGTCTTCCCCTTGACTTTTCTCGTGTCAATCTCGATATCGAAGGTTTTCTCTCCCTCCGACTGACTGTGCGTGTCACGTTTCCAATGCGGCTGGTAGTGATATTTTCTGAAGGTTTTGATCGCGGTAGTTCTTCTGGGGCAATGATAGAGGATGTATCTTCGTCTTTCCAAGAATCGTCATCTTCGTCTCTTCCGTCAAATATGGTTTCAAAAGGGTTCTCTATAGGTACTGTGGAAGGACTGTTCGTAGATAGAGCTGGTGGTTTCCCAGCCGGAGTTTTAGATATGATCTGGTTTGTTGTATTCATGGTGAAATGGTGGCAAAAATTGTCAAAATTGTGGTGTATGGGTTGAAAATGTAGAGGATACGGGATGTCCTCTTTGTCGGGGATGGTCGTTCTTACTTTCGTTGGGATAGTTGCAAGAAATTTCTTCGCTTTGAGGAAGGTCGGAACGTCAATTGATTATAGAAGAAAAGGTCCAGGGTCCAGCCTCCTCATAGTCATGAATAAGAATTAAATAAAAATTACAAGGCCAACAATAAGAATTGAACAATAAGGGAAATCAAACAATAGCTATTGAGGACTCAATAACAACAAGGAATGATAAATGAAAGTGAATGTCCCACAACCCAAAACAGACAATAGGAACAACAAAAAGGCGATAACGAATCTGTAACAACAATGTACAATAGCATTACACGCAGGAATTGAATGTGTGAGTAAGAAATTGGAAGAATGAGAAAATAATGAAACCAAGTTGATGATGCTTCCCATATGAAGTAGACCTACAAATTGGCCCATGAAGCACGACCTACCTATGATCCAGACCTGAAGTACCGAAAATAGCAAACTTTCTCATTCGTCCACAGTCGCAGCAAGTCATAATGATAAATCATTTATTGGCCAGTCGATTGAAAAGTATAATCTATTGCTGTAACTTTACGCGCCGACAAAAAGATTTTGATATGAATTGATTGGTTGGCGCGTCAAATGAGAGCCTGCCCATGAATATTGCATAAGGGTAACTGTAACTGTAACTGCGAAGTATCTGATCACTGTTACGCAATAAATGTGTGGTGTCCTTTATAATTGGAAGTCATCATTATCGTAAGTTCTCGTAGGGAACTGTATGGATGAGTCTCAATAAGTTTTCGTCGTCGAGCAAAGAGTGTGAGAGATCTGTACATGACTGAAGTTGATGGGGACGTGAGAAATATCGTTGATTATGTAATGACCTACTACAACAACGCATCAGGTTGGCGGTGAGTGGTTAACTTTCTTTTTATGCTTACTAAATTGTGCTGATGATAGATACAAGGTTAAATCAACATCCATATCCGGTTCAATGCAACGTTCCGTGACCATACAAGTATAAGAATAACGCCTCCATCTCTTGGAAAGGAAAAGATGACTTTTTCAAGCTTCTCAAACCTGTATCTAACCTTTCATATGAAGCAATAGGTCTCGTATCTAATACATTATGTTTCTCAAGACAACCCAGTCTGTTCTTCAGGCCTACTTACTACCTACGCTAGCAACTAATTCTATCTGGGGAGAAACTTCTGGGTACACAACATGATAACGTTGAAAGGGTACGACTGATTACCGGTATGCAGGAGAGTAATTGGTTGATATAAGCTCTGCGGCTCCTCACATCATCATCAAATCATCTCGCGCCCCAGACCCATACTTTTAAGCGCTCGGCTTGAGAAAAGGTTCAGTCATCCCCGAATGATCTACGGTAGGGTATTGATAAGTTGATATCAAGGGTTTTATCCAAGATAAATTAGCCAAATAACTTGGTTTGATTGGTTCATCTAGCACAAAAATCTTCACTCCAAGCCACGACCTTCTCTACTTCCACGCAAGCAAAATCATATCATATCATATCATGACAAAGGGAAAGTGATTGTGAACTAGCTAGCTACAGTGGTCTAGTCTAGTCTGGCCTCATATTGTCCTACTCATCCAAGCAACCCGGTTCTGCAGCACTAATAAATCGCCAACGAGCGTCCTACAGTACGCATAGTCTAATAAGCACGTTTGGGCACCGCAACCATGGAGATTATCATCGGGCCACTATATGGAGGAGGCGGGAGATCGTATTTACTCCCCACTTTCCAAAAGTTTCCTGGCGGCGTGTCCACGACACTGCACAGATTCTGAGCAGGCCAGAAGTTGGCTCCGTTAGATCTCCCGTTTGCGGCGCAGAAGGCAAGGCAAGTTTCGAAATCATTTGTCATCAGCTCAGGGCCCTGTATGGCCCGGTATATCCCGTAGGAAGTGGTGGTTAACCACGGATGCGTATACACCATCACTGAGCGCTGACAGAAGATTTGAAAGTTCTGCCCGTTGCGATTGACGGTTTTCATGTTGGAAGCTGGGCAGGAGATGGCGGGAGGGGGTGGCGGAGGTGTGACGCAGGAGGGGGTGGTGCCTGCATGGGAGATGGTGTGTTAGAGTGGTGGTTATGTAAATGAGAGGGTATGTGGAAAGGAGGTGCAGAAGAGAAGGGGAAAATACCATCCCATTTGAAATTCTGGCCTGCTGGGCAACAGCCTTGCTTGCCGCTGGCAGATTGCACCGTGTTGGGTGGGAGACAGCATTCTGTCTTTGCAGTCTGAGCATGCGTATATCTTCATTGCTTCCATTAGCTCCTCGTGTGCATTTATCTGAAGACAACTCTGCAGTTTTTTCAAACCAACAGAGGAACAAAATCTTACTCGGTCCCAAGACAGACTATATTGGAAGTGTTAGAAGGTCAAGAGTAAAGGATACCGGGTAGCAAGACATACTGCTTATAGCTGCGGTCTCGCATTCACCCTGAAAAACGCCATTTGCATCATTTTTCGGGACATAATTTGGTCCAGCAGTTCTCTTGCAGAAATCCTAAAATGGGAGTACAGTCAGATCATCCATCTTGCAAAGATTCACATAACTGAGTCTATGATGAGAAGGGCCAGCATACATCAGGAGTTTCCAGTTGAGCAAGTACGCAGCTTACAATGGTGAAAATACCAAGTATCGAGAGCTTGAATGTTTTCATCGTGAAGTAGTAGACTCTGAGGTCGAAACAGGAATGAATTTCAAATAGAATCGAAAAGTCAATCAATCGGTCACCAAGAGGATAATGGGATAATGAAGTCAAAGGGAATTACGCTCTCAATATCTCGCTGGTATGTTATAAGGACATGGTGTTTGGTTTCCTTAACATGATATGATATGAATGTATCACGAGCCCCCGCTCTCCGCTTCTTGCATCCAAAGATTTTGGAACCTGAACACTAAAGCCGTAATGAGTTGTCACTCCTTTCTCAATTGGGGGGCTGACATGATACATTGGCGTAGGATACATCGAAACCCTTACTTTCAATGGTCACTGACTCACCTCGAACTATCATAACGGCTTCAAAGGTTCGCCAACCACAAAGCGCCATCTGTCACGCAGCATTGGCTTAGCGGTGTAGCTAGCTGTTCTTTTGTGTTTTTTGCTCCTACATCAAGTATTGCCTGCACTTCTTTGCTGTTTCGGCGATCACTACGCGCTATTGTCTTAGCTGAAGATGCTGCTTCGGCGCAGTTGTGTGCGCCGGGCGCACACAATATAGCGATATTGCAGCTGAAGATATTCCTTTGGTGCATACTATGTAACTGAAGGTGCTTCTTGGACACACTGATACATGTACTGTATATCGCCTGCACCATGAATTGTAAAGTACTCGAGTAATATTAATTGGCGCTCGTACAACCCCACCTGTATGTAGATCTTAACATCACCGATTCATTCACCGTAACCTAACCACAACCATATCAACTGACAGATCATAAACCCCCAACGCGGAGAATACAAAGTATGGGGTACCCCAGCGTACCAATGACTTCCATGGTAGCAATCCCATGCATTCATAGTTACATCCGACATGTCCTCCGCATCGATCCGAATCCGACCTACCTGTCCCTCGGAAACAGGCTGAGACATAAAACATCGTCGTGCGCGTACGTTGCACCCGAATTGGAAATTGGCAGAAATAGATATCGATGATGTGGTAGCTGAGCTTTTCATGTTGAAGCCCCGTATATGCTTGTGCTGGGTCCCCTGGAAGCGGCGCGTTCTGTAAGGGGTGGTCACTACATTAGCTCCCTTTGAGTGTTGACGATAACGAAACGGCTGCTTTTGTGGGCGATTTGTATATGCATGAACATATGTATGAAATTGTTGATCTACAACTTTATTCAGCTTGCATTTGCAGCGAGGCGTTTTCTTGGTCTGCAAGCGAGACTACGCTAATTTTTCACCTCACCCCTGTCTCACAACTCTAGATCTCAAGATTCGTTGATGCAGGACCCTCTATCGCAAGGTGGTAATTATCACAGCTGAAATGGAGAGTGTAGAACAATATTATCAATTTCAAAAATCTTGTCATTGAATTTTTAGCCTAAAGTAACCGTGATCTTAATCTCCCATCCCCAAATTTCGATGTCAAGCCCTTTCCCCTCCTCAACGTCACTTCACGAAAAACCGCTACGTGCTACGGAAAACATACTCGGAGGCCTCTCTTACTAGACCTTCTTTGTAGTCGGAACAGCACACAAGAAATCTCCTCCAGCAGGCGCAGATCCCGTTGGTGGGAACTCGTAGACTGAAGCCCAAACACAATTATCGGTTGGATTCCCATCATCATAGAAGTTGACACCTTGACAGAATGGTTGAGCTTTGGCAGCTAAATTACACACATTAGCATTATTCCCTTTCAACAATCTCCTCCATCCTATGATATTAGACGTGGGGTAAAACTTACAGCATTGCTCCATACACTCCTTGAAATCCTTTGCGCTCGATACTCCCAAGTTCGGATTGGCAGCGGTGTGTCCCAATGTGCAATAAACCTTATATTCGACCCCGCCAACTGTAGTCGTCTTGCCCTCGGCAGCGGGACACTTATCAGGGAAAGGAACCACAGGAGGGTTTGGACAGCTGGGACATGGAGCACTCGGGCACGGACATGGGCAGACAGGCTCTTCAATGAGATGAGCGCTGTCATAGACATCAACCGTGACAGGCACATCCTTATTACCGTGAGATCGTAAGTAGCAGATTTTAGTATCTTTGTTGTAGATAGCACGGACGCAGTTGCTTATACCAGAGCAGCGAGTCATGCAATCGCCCATTGTATCTGCGGGTGCTATGTTTATATCGTTTGTTCCGTGATTGACTAGAAAATTGTTAGGAGGTGATTGGCAATGAAACGGAAATTGTTTACTGACTCAATCCACAATAGAGCTTGTACTTCTTGCCTCCAGATGTGAAGATCCTTCCATCACCCTTGGGGCAAGTGGGATTTGGATTCTCCCTGCGATTGAGTTTAATACAAGAGTTGTACATCCAACACTCTCTGGACTAAGAACTTACTTGCAAGAACAGTCACAGGTAAACACATCATCCGAATTTGCACAACAGCTCCCAGTCAGTGTTTTGGGGTCGGCATGATAAGATTTACCCGCAGCGCAACAGTCTCCTTTCTTCGTCATGGCATCGAAAGAATACACATTTGGAGCAACGCAACAAGCTCCTTCAGTCTTGACTACAGTATCGACGCTGAAAGTTCCCTGGAAAGATCAGAGTGAGCTCTGGATGGCAAAATAACGCAACTTAGCTGGGAGAAAACTCACTTTGTCTTTGCCACAGCATCCCGGCTTGTTGGTTTTTGGATCCTAGAGAAGTTTAGAATTGAAGATTCGCTCCTAGTTAGATGGAGAGAATCTTACAGTATATGGGCCCCAATAACAGCTCGTAACAGGGGGGGCAACACATTGCCCAGTAGGCTCTAAAAACACTCAGTAAGCACAAAGTTACCAAATTTTCTAAGAATAACTTACTGCCAGCAGCGTCAAATTGCATAGCTGTAGGATTTGTTAGAGAAAGTAGCACATCGGGCTTTTAGATACACTCACAGAACTGAGCTCCAGCCTCTGCTTGAAATTAGCAAATTAGTCCATTAGAAGCCCGACGTCAAGATCTTACTTTGCTTGCACACAGCGTCCCATTTCGCCTTATCAGCTGGAGTTGGATCGACTGCAAAAACCTGACCCGTGAGGATAGCAAGAGGGAGCAATAACTTCCCGAATCTATGGATCAACATGTTGAGGTGAAATGTTCAGTCTGTAATGTCGAATTGCTAACAAAATCAAGTGTAATTTTGGAAAGCGGAGAAAATATATCAAAGTCAACTCTCAAGAGACTGGTCTTGGGGTCTATACAAAAGATTGATGGAAAAGAGATAACCTAGTCAGCATAGAGAAAGCTCTATAAACCACTACTATCAATGCAAGTCTCAAAGTCTAGAATAGGAAGTTGTGTCGTCCAATTATCAAGAGGCTTGTGAATCGTTGATTAAGATTTGCACCGAGAGGACCCGATTGTGGATGGCTGAAAATACACAAGGTAATGGTAAACAGTGACGATGCGGTTTTGAACCGAAACACGCGACATATGCCGTGCTACTCACTCTAATTGTTCCGACAAGTGTTGAATTCTAATGTATGCATTGCATCCCAACAATTAATGTCTGCATTGCATACTAACAATCTACGAAATGACCTTGCCATATCATGTCGCCAAGTATTGAGTTCAAATGTATACATAACAGTTTACCTAATGAGGCGTACCTGAACTACCCTTGCAGTGCAACTGTAGATCTTAATTGTGAAATGTGATACTTTCTCACTGTACCTCGATCATATTCTTGCCAGCTGAATCAATCTTACTGTCCGTGCCAGAGGCGTATTACAATGCGGGGAAGTAAGACAACTCAGCCATTCCGGGAAATGATAGATTTCATCGGACTACTTCGGTAAATGTAGTGGCTTCTACTTGTGTCACGGACGGATGAGGAAGATGATGCATAGACATATATGGGAGCAGTACTCAGGGATCCGAAGAACGTTCCATTCTCGTTGTGATCTGAGCGAGATAAAGACTCCTCTGCTTTAAATTTCTTTCCAGTCTGCTTTAAAGCTGAAGTTTCTGCTCTACACGCTTGCGAGATATATACTCAACCTTCCTGCTCTCAACACTTGCCTTCAATCATTTTTTATTGACAATCATGATGGGCCTCACTCGAAGCACCCTCGCTGTGTTCCTCTCCCTCTTACTTGTCCTCCAACCTCTTGCAAACGCTCAAGATCAGGCTCAAGGTCGACCAGGTGCTTCTGCTCCAGCTTCAGCCCCAGCTCCCGCTGCTGGCCGACCCGGTGCTCCTCCTCCTGATCAAGTACCAGTCCAGCCATCGGCTTCGGTTCCAGCTCCCGCTGCTGGTCGACCTGGTGCCCAGGTGCCAGTTACACCATCAACTCCTCCTGCGGTGGATCCCGCTCAACCACGACCGAAGGTCTATTCCTGTCCCGCTGATAATGGCGCTAGATATACAACAGCCAATGGGGTAACTTTTGAGTTGAAATGCGACCATGGCACGATTGCTAAGCCCCTTGATGCCACTACCACCAATTCACAAAGGGAATGTGCAGACTATTGCTCCACACTCCCGAATTGCCAGTCTGCCGATTGGAACGACAGAAGCAAAATGTGTGCAACGAAGCAGGAGGTTTGTTTTCACTTATACTTTGCGTGCCAACTTGATCCGCTAACTTCAGCAGTACATACCAGTGAGTAGAACTAAGCTGCAAACAAGAGAGGATTTTCGATTCATTCTGCACTTTACTAACAAGAGAAGACATTTCCCTTAACAGGAACACACACCTGGTTTCCGCTCGAAGAGCGAATGCAGCGTCCCGATGTAGAGCCACGAACTCCACCCGAGTGCCCAGCACCCAAGATAGCTCTTGCTGAAAGCGTGACCGCGAGCGCGAGTTTCACAGCTGATGGCCAATGTCCAACCAGTAAGCGCATACTCGATTATACCGAGGGAAATTTTTTCACTGACAATCTCAGATGACGGCAAGATCTTTTTGACTCCACAGGGCACATACTTCCAAGTCAAATGCGCCTCAGAAAATACAGCTGCAGTTGGAATTCCCGGGAGCAGACCACTTCATGATTTCGCGGAATGCATGACTGCTTGTGCAGACATTCCCGAATGCAAGAGGTAAGATATAGAACTCGGAAGAGCTTCGAGAAGAAGACTGATCCAAATAGTATAACGTTCGCTGGTGGAAAACCCAATTGGGAGTGTAAGATGTTCGACACTGGTGTGGAGTCGTTGGTCGCAGATGCTACAAGTCGTTACTCCCAATACCCTCTTTTGATTGAGTAAAACCTAATAATTTATTTTACAGAAAATAAAGCCTCGGCGATCCTCATCGATCCACCAACTTCCAATAAGGTGGATGACTTAACAATGCTCTGCTCAACTGAATGCCCAAATGCTGATGGACAAACATGGGTATCTGACACAGGAGAGGTAAGTGTACAGGTTTAGAATTTAGAACAAGCTGGCTTTGGAGTCGTCACTAACGATCCATTAGCAATTTCGCATGGACTGCTGCAAACGCCACGGTACTATCACCATAGGCCAAACTCAAACAGCCTCCTTGGAGGAATGTATGAAGCTTTGCGCTTTGGCATTGCCTTGTCAATCTGTCGATTGGCAAAGAGACTCCGGGAACTGCTACTTTGGAAAACATTCTGGTGCACCAACCATCGCTGCATCTGGGTGGGCTTCTGCACATTCAATGGGTTGTGCTGGTGCGTGCAAGAAATCGACTGGAGGATGCTGCGGAGGGCAATAAGGTCCCCTGGCATGCCCTTGAAGTTGGAATCGAAGTGCATTGTTTTCAGAGGTTTACCATATCTATGTTGTCGCCCTTGAACATGAAGAAGAACGGATGAGTAGCTCAGATAATTTATTAGAACTTTGTGACGCATATATCCCGTGTTTCTGTATCACGTGCGTATCGTGGCCCACTGAGCCTGTTCTTTATCATGTTGGTTGGTGAGAAATCGAGAAGCATCCCCTCCCTCCTCGGGATTTCTCACTTTAATCCTTTGACCTCCATCTGATATGCTCTTAATTTGGATGTGATCGTGACATTCGTGACATTACTGCAAGGCACCCGTATTTCGAGACCATAGTTCAGACTGCGCTTTTCGGTCGAGGAAAATCGTCACGACGGTATGGATTTTGGATCGGGAGTCTTGAATAAATCACCACTCCAAACAAATGGTGAGATGACGGGATATCATCAATCTCCTTGCCGACCTGTGTACAGCACATGTTCGTGTTATTGACTGAAAGATATCAAAACGAGTGTGGTGTTCAGCTCACAATGTCCATTGTATAGGTAGCCCCAGAGTCTTCTTCATACGCAAATCATCACTCGACAAAAGGTTGAGATGATAGTGTTATAATCACTTCCAAAGCTGCCGACTTGTGTTTGATCTTCGGAAGAGCCGCCTCCCTCGTGTTGTTGGTAGTTGTTCTGGATCATTCAAACGGCTGTTTCGTCTTCAAGCTCAAGATCTTACCATCTCACCATCAAAGCCGCACCATCTCTTCCTTTCACACTGGCTTCAGCAACAAGCATTAGCCACTCTATTCGTACTGAGTGTACCTAGATAGGTATAATGGTCGTACCTTCACAGGATATATGTTTCCATAATTTAAGGTATAAGGAGAGGAATAAGGTTAGCACGATACAGGTACAAGGCTTGGCTAACCCGGTAGATCTACTCGAGTAAGGTGTACTTATTGTACTTGCTTGTAGCTAAAATAAACTTTTAACCCCTATCAAAAACTTGAAGCGTTAATCGGTAATTACACAAGAACAAATCTTAATTTCACAATCTCATTAGACAGAGAGAGAGGACGGACTACTTGTAAATATCTTCACTTTCCTCTCCTCCTTCTTCTTCTCTTCTGTACTACTGTACTGGTATTATACGACATCGCCGACAAATCGAACAAACGCCATTCAACAAAACGCTCAAGCCATTACACCTTTCCTTATCTAAACACGAAAACTGAGAAACGCCAAGAACCTCAGGACACTTTGCATTCGACCAACGAAATCAATTCTTTGGGTCGCGATTTCGATTTAATTAGAAGAAGTCAAGTAAATAGAATACGAGCTAGTTTTCAGTAGTAAAGGTCTATTCGTTTTCTACTCTATTGTTTGACTTTCCGTCTTTTTTCATCCTTTCGTCAAGCTGGCGTCCTCCGGTCTTTCTTCTTTGAAATCTTCCCATCAACATCATCGAAAACGGTCATCAATACAGATAAAGACAGGAATTGAGCTTGACGAACGAAATTCTTCCCACTCCTCGACCCGGGTGTTATCACCCATACCTGGAACACCGATTGGTTCAATGTCATTATCGCGAAGTCCATCACCAAGACCTGGAGGAGGTTGGGCTAGCCCAGGCCTTTCTAGCCCTTTTGCCAATGTCAGTGGAAGATCTAGTCCAAACAAGATGCAAAGAGGAGGTGGAAATGGAAATTCGGTAACCTGGGAATCTGCGAGAGCAAAGAGTGAGGAAGTAAATGGTTATCCCTCATTCTCGACCAAAAATAATGGTTTCTTCAATCGACATATCAGAAATATCTCCAACAGTCTGCCGCATTTTCATATGGGAGGGGATAGGAGTTATGCAGAAAAGGAAAAACTTGGGCGCGGACGATGGGCTGGATCCTCAAAGATGGCACGAATAAGGAATAACTGTGCGAGAGTTAGTCGCAAAATGAGGATGCGATTTATGATTGTTTTAGGGTTTGTAATGATGATAATACTTTTCTATTCTACACGTAAGTCGATTTCTTGGTCTGGAAGCCAACGAGCTATTCTGACATCAAGATAGCTTTACATTACTGGTGGCGCCGAGCAACACATCTTGGGGGAGGTAAAAAATTCGTTATAATACTTGCGGCAAATCAGGGAGGTGGAGTTATGGAGTGGAAGGGACCAAGGGAATGGGCAATCGAACGAGACAGTGTGCGCAACAAACGAAAGTATGCAAACAAATGGGGATACGAATTAGAGATTGTGGATATGAGCACCAAGAAGAGATATGCTCATGAGTGGAGAGAAAGCTGGGAAAAGGTTGACACAATCCGGAATTCGCTGAGAAAATATCCCGAAGCTGAGTGGTAAGTTGCACTCTTATATGCAACGAAAGAATCTTACAAGCTAACAACCTACAGGTTTTGGTGGCTCGACCTTAACACGTTCATAATGGAACCATCCTACTCCCTCCAATCACATATCTTCAACAGCCTAGACAAAAACACTTACCGCGATATCAACGACTATAATCCCCTCAACATAACCCACCCTCTTCAATTTCCCTACCTCGACGTCGAATCTCGCAGCGCAGTTGGAGACGGTCAAGCAAGCTCCGTCAACCTAGTAGTGCCCCAAGATTGCTCGGGTTTCAATCTCGGTTCCTTCTTCGTCAAACGCAGCGCATGGACTGATCGTCTCCTAGACGTATGGTGGGACCCTGTCGGCTACGAACAAAAGCATATGGAATGGGAACACAAAGAACAGGACGCCCTCGAATTCTTGTACATCAATCAACCCTGGATTCGTCCTCACACTGCATTTATCCCTCAGCGTAAAATCAACAGTTTCCCACCCGGAGCATGCTCGGATAATGGGAATGATACGCGCATTCATTATGATGAACATGATCGGGATTTCCTAGTAAATATGGCGGGTTGTGAGTGGGGACGAGATTGTTGGGGCGAGATGTATAACTATAGGGAATTGAGTAATCACTTGAATAGGACTTGGTGGGAAAGATTCAAGGAGGACTTGGTGATCAAGGCGTGGCAAAAGGTTACGGGGAACAAGCCTCAGTCAAAGAATTCATGAACGACTTCAAATGAAAGGATAATTGGGGGATAAAATGTGTTTGGGTTTGAGTTTGAGTTGGGAAATGAAGGGGATGAAAAGTTCTCCCAGCAACGAATAAGCTACGAACGAAAAGAAGAAAGTTGTCCGGCTTTTTCTTTTCTTCTCTGGATATACTATATGTATTATGTCTTTACTCGAGTACTTTCATGAGTGGAAGATGAACAAATATCAATTTTAATGACAGCGTTTCTGTATCTTTATTACCCACTACCTACTATTATTGGACGATTGTGCAGTTATGTACTTATGTACTTATGTGTGTCTATTCTTAAATCGATGTTCTGGATCTTGGTGTGGTATTGAATTTTCTCTTTGGAGGTTCTGATGTGTTGTGTTGTGTTGTGTTGTGTTTTTTGTTGTGTGACATTTTAGGGGGGAGGAAGAGGGGCGAGGGAAGATGTTCATGGTTTTGTGGTGGCTTTTTGTGAGTTTGAATATGAATGGATTATGGGAAGAGGGTGAGAGGAGGGGGAGAGGGAGAGGGAGAGGGAGAGGGAAATAGAGGGAGGGTGGAGAGGGATGGGAAATGGATAGTTTTCTGTGTATATGTAGATCATCAAACTAAATATAATATACCGTCTACAAAATTACAATGACAGACAGGCATATTTGTGTATGGTATGGTATGGTATGGTATGGTATAATGTGAGATCGGGAATTGGAAATCTTGGATCTTGGTTTGGTTTGGTTTGGTTTGGTTTGGTTTTATGTAATCCTTTTGGTATGTCGGTTTTGGAATGGATGGATATGTATAAGTGAGTGAGTAGTGAGGTGAGGTGAGGTGAGGTGATGAGGTGAGGTAATGCTATAGGATAGGCGATGCGATGCGATGCGATATCGGGAGGGGAGTACCAGTACCGGGACTAGTATTAGTATAAAAGAGGTAGAGTAGTTAAAGGAGGGGGTAGGAGGGAGTCGGTTGGATGTTGGATGTTGGATATTTGGATATTAAATATTAGAAGATTTTAAAGTAGATTTAGGGGGAGTTGATGTTGATGGAGAGGACAAGAGAGTTTGTATATATGATATTGGAATGATTGACTAGATAGGGTATATAACAATGGAAAAGGCATTAGACACTTGGGAATTTCTAGGCGCATGCATCCCTATTCTACCTTTACCGAAAAGACGGTGCGGTGCTATATATATCATGCGATTGGCTGATATGTTTGTTGATTATTTGATTACAGTATTTATCCAGGTAGCTAACAGTAACTTATGGTCTGTTCGTCTGTTCATATGACACTCCTCTTCTTTCTGAAAAAGGATCAAGAAACAAACAAAGGTATTGTTTGATTTAGGTGATACGAGGACCCCGAACCTACGTGTGACTAGGTATTTTCTGTTGATACTTGCTTGTGATAGCAGTAAGGTGTTGAGTGTCTCACTCGCACTGTCAATATCGCGGATGTGAGATGAGATGAGATGAGATGAAAGTAAGCAATTGTATACAAGATCGGATGATAGATTAGGGCGGAAGTATATCGACGATATTGATGATTGTCGGTTTGTCGATTGCATTGTTGATTCAGGATTGTGCATTGAGGTCATTCGAATGAGAGGTTTGAGGAGAAGGCACGGGAGGCAAGCAAGGTAATATTTGAAGTTTGTTGTTGGAGAAGAGCGCTGCGTACTGTACCGGACCGTTACCGAGACCAACTGTAGGTAAAGAATAATATGTGATCGGGAGTTGGAAGGTTGAAGATGTTCGAGACATGCTATGCTGTGTTATGGTAGAATCCGCAGAACTATATTCGCTATATTTGAAGGTTTGTTCATCGTACAATACCCGCCGAAGAGGATGAATCTCAATTGTAATTTCGGCGAGATGATCATGAGTGAACCTCAACTGAGAAGCTAGATTGATACTTCGCTTCCTCGTTTACGATGAATGTTTACAATGAACAATCATCGTAAATGATGCATGACATGGAAGGATCGTTTAATTCTACTGAACTCTATATATCTAACTTGGGTGCTTACTTACAGGCTTGAAAGAGGCGAAGATATACTATGAATAGGGTGAATCCTATAGAATACTATGTAGTAAAGACGATGTAACGATGTTAACGGTATTTGATGATGCCGAGAGATTGAGATGTTTTTGACGACTTGGAAACTGGGAAGGATGCATGCATGGGCAGTATTAGTAGAGGAATGGAAGTCTGGGGGATTGAGCTATAGGATACGACAGTATCGGGTTGCAGTTTGGACGATCCTATGTTTGATGATGGAAGGACAATTTGACCTGTCTTGTATGATCATGAATGTCTAAGATGCCAAGGAACTATGTAGAAACCGTAGAGATGGGAGGGTTTGAGGTTCGGGAATTGACAGTACTTCTTGGAACCAATGGATGAGTTGTGATATAGATAGGAAAAGGAAAGAGGAGGAAGGGGATGGGCTCAGATGGTGGGGAGGTTCGATGTTTTATGTTTGAAGTTAATGTAAATGCCAGGCGTTATTGGCGAAAACGAAAAGGAGGAGAGATGGCGATTAATGACTGGTAGCGTATAAACCCACGGAGGCCATTCCATAAGACGAATGTCTAGAGAGCTAGCACACACAATGTTTTATCTGTGTGGCGGTCGATAAGATCTTCTGGGTCTCATTTCAGGATATCGAGTTTCATGCATCTATGGTGGGCATGATAGGGTCCATCTACTCATAGATGCAAACGACGTGTGCGTGCGTGGAAAAGACCGGATGATACTTGTAGAATTAAAACAAATCCGAAATGTTTGATCTTTGATATTTCCTTCATATCGTGGCGTTTCAAGGAAACGTGACGTTTTCCCTGGATGCTTAGAGGTTTGGATCCTCCGGAATCTGATTCAAATATGATGTGAAGAAAAGAATGTAAGTGTAAATCTTTAAACAATTATTTCATCATTCTTTTCCTACTCGAGCCGTTGTTTCTGCTGGGTGGGAGATAGATACTGATATCGGTATACATACTCATACAAATACCAACCAAACCAAATCAGATGTTTAGGTCTTGGAGAGTAACATTTCTTATACTTCTTCTTTTTGAGGCCCATCTAGAACTACTAATAAATTCAATACCTAGCTTTGCATATATTTGACTTTTTCTAACAGTACTACTTGTACCTGATTGAAACGAGAAGACCTCGCTTACTCCCGCCTAAAAAGATATCTACAAAGTTTGATTGGTCTACTCCTTCAGGAACCCATCACAACCTCAAACAACTCTTGTCAAAGCATCCGATCTTCGACTTGATGTAAGAGTCTTAACTGGCTGCGCCGTTCATTCCCCCTCATGTCGCAATAATGTTTCTCACCATAAATCCCACAGTTCAGATCAAAATCATTCCAGTGGATATTAGTCTGTCTAGGGACGGAGGAATCTAGCTCGCCATGCATGAGTGGTCAGTCTAGCTTGTTCCATGTGAATGCTTTATTATCCATCGAATCCTCCACATGTTTCTCACTTGTTTCTCACTCGCACATATACGGTTTTTTCACTAATGCCTCTACCATCTGCCACATTCTCTAGGATGGCCTGGCATACCTGCTTTGAAGTCTACAGGGCACTGACTATACCTGGAGACGCATTTCAAAAACTGGACTGTTTGGTACAAAGAGCCTTGGACTTTTTTGAAAGACAATCCTTCGAATACGTGATTTTCTTATAATATTCTTATCCCCTTTCTTCGAGTTGAAGAGTTTCTTTCTCACTTTCAAATTTTCAACACCGCCGTCACTCTTTACGCGGTGTCTTTTTTGTTCTGTTTCGATCATCTTTGTTCCTTGTTTTTGTTCATCTTTGACAGTTGTGTGGCTCATCCAATATCTTTCAATACCATTCACCAAGAATAACGTTGTTCGCCAATCCTCCTTTGTTAATTCACAACACGCGATATTTTTTATTGTCTTTGTTAGTCACAATAGCACAAAGCGAGAACAATTGCATTTAAAACTCGAAGACTTTCTATAAACTTTCCTGATATCAGTTTGACTTGAAGTTTGCTCGAACACTCATTAAAATCGCACACTGAGATATCACACAAACAGCTTCAGTACTTTCATTTAGAATTCCACAAAGTTTACCATTTAAGACTTTCATCAGGAACAACACACTAAACAAATCCAATATTTACAACTCAAACCATGCCTTCAAATCAGATCCTCAGTCGCATCGGTGCTGCGTTGATTCTCGCTGCTGGCAGCGCGAGCGCCGCATATACGCTTACCGATTCGTATGACCATACAAACTTCTTCTCAGAATTCAGCTTCTTTTCTGGGCCCGATCCAACTAGCGGTCTGGTTGCATACCAACCGGCTGTTGAGGCCAGCAAATCATCCCTTGCTGGGTACACCAATAACGCTGATCTTAAATCTGTTTACCTCGGAGTCGACCACACTACAAAGCTCTCAGGAACCGCTGGACGAGCCTCAACTCGTGTCAGCTCAAACAAGGCATATACCCACGGCTTGTTCATCGCTGATGTTGCCCATATGCCAGAAGGATGTGGAACTTGGCCTGCACTCTGGAGTTTCGGTCCCGACTGGCCCTCAAGAGGAGAGATCGACGTCATCGAGGGAGTGAACGCTGGAACCACAAACCAAATGACACTTCACACCTCAAAAGATTGCATCATTAGCAACAGTGGATCTGACGCTGGCACAACTCATGTTGACGCAAACTGCAATGCCGGTGAGGGGAAAACAGGCTGTGGTCAGACAACCAAAAACACGCAGAATTACGGTGCAGGCTTCAACGCAAATGGTGGTGGAGTTTATGCTTGGGAATGGACCTCATCCTATATTGCCATTTACTTCTTCCCCCGTACAGCCATCCCAGCAAACATCCAATCCGGCAAGCCTGACCCCACCACTTGGGGAACACCAACTGCCAAGTTTGCTGGTAGCGGTTGCAACATCGACGATCATTTCTCCGAACACAGCATCATCCTCGACACAACTTTTTGTGGCGATTGGGCTGGTCAAGTCTGGTCAAGTGGAGGCTGCGCAGCTAGCACCAAAGCTGCCACTTGCAATGCCTACGTTTCCGCCAATCCAACTGCATTCAATAATGCTTACTGGATCATCAACTCGATCAAGGTCTTCTCAAGCGGAGCTACCAAGAGAGACGCCACTCATGTGTCATTCAAGGCATAGACGAGTTGATAATTCGGGGGTGATGAGGATAATTCTTTTCCGAATTCAAACTTTTTCTTTTTCTTTTTCTTTTTTTTCTAAATTCACACTTTTACACTTGACACTTCTTCTTAACACTTCACACTTTGTTTTCATGAATATACCTTGTACTTTAGCTTGCGTCTATAGATTCTCTGGCGTTTAGCAAGGAAATACCACAATTTCATTTGCACCATTGGCATCATTGGCATCATTGGCATCACATGTATGAGGCGAGGCGTAAGAGCGTTTTGGCACCAAAATACCTATGGGGTTGATTTCTAGAATTGGTTTACCTGAGATACCTTTCAAAAAAGGGGGAGGATTGGTTCTTTATGTATATGCATGATGTTAAATAGAATATGACATTTCCTGTACTCGGGTATTCCAAAACAAATTCTCTTATGATTTTTAAGTCCTATGTGATAATGAAAATGACAATTTATATATCGTTACTCGTAATTACATTAACAAAACATTCAAATACCGTAGAACAACCAGATGAACCTGTAGAAATCTCCAGCTTCCTTTTCTCCTACTCCATACTCCATACTCCATACTGAACTCGTATAAGTATAAGTAAGAAAGCGCCAAGCTTTTCCACCCAGAAAAGCGAAAGCCTAGAAATAGACCTTGATCCAAGCTCCAGGCCCTCAAGCATTAAAACTTTAGCGAAGATCGTCACTAACATCACTGAATCCTTGGCCATAAAGCTTCATTGCACTGCAAAATATATTATTTCTATTATTTCCCCGTGCGTGTAAACAACGACACTTGCCGCACATCACCACCACATACATCGGGACTATAACGCCTTCAATATCTGCAGCTTTACCGAATTCCTTTGGTATTATCACTATGCATCCTTCAAGACAAGCTTACGTGGAGGAGGTCAAAGAAGTAAGTTATACCCCTCCAAGCTATTATTTATGCAATCATGCATACGAATGAATGAATATCAGGCAGATGAATAACTATACATTCACAAGCGGATGCTAACCTCCTCTTCCCCACACGTAGGACACAGGTATTGACCTCGCAGATGTCCGTAAGTACCATCCTCCACGCAATCCTCCATATATCCACTAACCTCCACTCCAGCCCTCGACCGCGACTATGACATGCCCTCTGCAACCGCTGGTATTGCCCCCGAGCGAGCCAGTGCGATCCTCTCTCAATTTGACCGCAAGCGTCGCGCAGCCGCCATAGCGGTCCCCACCGACGATGGACGCGTGCGCGCGCGACTTCGAGAAATGGGCGAACCTATCACATTATTTGGGGAAGGGCCGGGTGATAGAAGAGATCGATTACGACAGCTGTTGACGATTGAGAGTGAAATGAAGGCGGAAGAAAATCGGGAGGATGAAGATGGTGATGTGGAGATGGGGGAGGGGGGAAAGGATGAGGAAGCAGAGGAGGAATTCTATACGAGGGGGACGAAGGAATTACTCGACGCGAGGATAGAAATTGCGAAATTTTCGCTGCCCAGGGCGAAGAAGAGGGTAGAGATTCAGAAGGTGGAGAAGGATATTCCGTTGAGGACTCATATTAAGTTTAGACAAGGGGTGAAGGAGAAATTAAAGGATTTTGAGTTACAGGGAAGTCAAACGGCTGGGGAGAGGCCAGTCAGTATTGTGAGAATTTCGCCGGGTGGGGAATTGGTCGCTGCAGGCAATTGGGGAGGCGGAATCAAGCTGCTTGGAATACCGGATTTGGAAGTCAAGAAATCGCTGAGGGGGCATACAGATAGAGTGGGTGGAATCTCTTGGGCACCGGGTGCCACCATAGAGGGGTCGAATGTCTCGCCCGCCAGCGTCAACTTAGCATCAGGAGGTGCGGAGGGAAAAGTCCATCTATGGAATCTGGAGCAAGATACGCCAGTTTCGACTCTTGCGGGGCATAATCAGAGAGTTTGCCGAGTGGAATTTCACCCTTCCGGTAAATACGTTGCATCTGCATCCGAGGACACAACATGGAGACTATGGGATGTCGAAACTACTACAGAATTATTACTTCAAGAAGGACATTCGAGGGGTGTATTCTGTCTCAATTTCAATACCGATGGGTCACTTCTAGCGAGCGCAGGTATGGATAGTATTGGGCGCATTTGGGATCTCCGAACAGGCCGCACAGTCATGATCTTAGATGGACATATCCGACCCATCTATGCCCTCGATTGGTCTACCGACGGTCATCGTGTTCTATCGGGATCTGGCGACGGCTGGATCAAATGCTGGGACGTGAGGAAAGTAGCATGTACTGGTGGAGTAGGTGCGCATCGTAGTGTGGTTTCTGATTTGAGATGGTTCAAAGGTATGGATGCCGAATCTTTGCCGGAGAAAGATGAGAAGGGAGTAGGAAAACCAAGGAAAGCAGGATCATTCTTTGTCTCGAGTGGATTCGATAAGGATGTTAATATCTTTTCGGCGGATGATTGGGCGCTGGTACAGAGTTTGAGTGGGCACACGGGTAATGTGCATAGTTGTGATGTAGGAGCAGATAGCAAATGGATCGTTAGTGGCGGGTATGATAGAACGGTCAAACTATGGGGAAGAAATAACGGAGAGGGCATTTAAAGTTTGCTAAAGTGCGAGGGGCGTTCGGTTACAAAAAGTACTTTACGCATCCCATCAAGGAATAGACTGGACTGGCTGACGGATGAGCTTCGAGCTATGTATGCTTGCTGCATTTGCAAATGATTGGCGTATGGGAGGATAAACTTGTAAGAGAAAATGGCACAAGGCGTTTGTTTTGATTTGGATACCCGGAATATGCATGTATATGTACGTCGTATACGGAGAGAAAATAAAGACTGGCTGATAGAGAAGTGTTGATGTTGTGAAGTGGTGAAGTGGTGAAGTTGAAATACTCGTATATCTGCTCTGTCTTTTGATGGGCTCGATGCTTGGTATCTGATTCTTTTCACCTTGGGGTTTAATGCCTGCTACGTTACGAACTGTTGTGGTGATGTGATGTGATATACTTGAGTACACGGTGGTTGTTGAGGCCATAGGATAGAGGTTGAGAATTCCTTCTGCCCGGTTCGAAAATTAAAGGATTATTTCATTTTCTATTCTCCATATCCTATACTCGTACGGTGTTCATATATCCATTCTCCTTCCAGAAACCTCAGACTCCTCAGACTTCTCCAAAATAATCGTATTATATTATATAGTTATATATCCAGTTTACAAAACGTATAATCATGCTCATGCTCATACTCGCAAGCGAAGCAGTCAAATCTAAATCTAGGAGCTCTGTTTCTGACTGATAGGAAATACCTACCGGTACATGTCACAGATGCCCCAATCAATATATACAGTTTCCAAAGCCATGCTTTTCCCAACTCGATATTTGACTAATTCTAGTATTGGGATTTTGGGTCACAAATCATGTACTCGAGTATAAAGGATATGATGTCGTAAGTGTAGGCCAACATTATTTCTCCCTTTAGTGATAAGTTCATACTTTAATAAGGTATTTTTGTTCTTTGGTGACGTACAATAGCTGAGGTAAAGAATAGTGGGGAGACGATTGGGAGATGGGAATTCATCAAGAACTAACAATGTAATGGTATAATCTAATGCAACATGGTAAATATACCGGACTTACTTGCTTCTTATAAAATCCATACCGGTTAACGAAAGAGGTAGGTAGATATGGATCCTTGTATACAGGCAATGGGCATAAAATGAATGATATTGATCGTGGTGATTATTATTGCATTTCTGTTACGCACTGCACACAAGAATCGTATCGGACTGAGGCGGGAGTGTAACGAGGGCTGGAAGTCGAGGATGGGACGCTTGGTCTGCTAGAGGGCTGCTTGTATATCTTGAGGCCATCTACTCGAGTAGAGATATGAGAAGGAAAAAGTGAGCGAGGACGAAACAGAGAAAAGCATGGATACTGAGGACACAAAATATGTAATGGTGACCGAGCTTCTGGAATATTATACTACCAATAATAGGACCGAGACTTGGATATATATGTGATATCAGAGGTAAAACTGTTACTCGACAGCGATAACTCTGAGATATTTACTCGAGTATCTCGTTAGGATTTGATTCCCATTTCAACGATCATTTATCGATCGAGGAGTGCACACATTAGATCTGACATTAGCGATTGATCGAATGAAGGTTTCAACAGTCATACCTGACGAGCCTATACTTTGGAATATTCTCAACATTGCTATGTAATTCCGTTGTACGCCCAAGGATATGTTGGCGACTTATACTCGTTGCAACAATATAGATATACTGGCCGTCTTCCAATTTCATCGGAAAGGTTCAAGAAAATTGCTACGCCGATTCTCGATGCGAACATATAACCTGTCATGGAAAGGTTTATCAACTCAGGGTTGACTTGAAGCTGCTTGGCCATTAAATTCATGGAAAGGCCAGCAAACACAAGCGCTCAGAGGTGGAAAGAGGGCTATGGATCCAATCAGAAAAACAATTAGTTGTCTCTGTAGCTTGCTGGATTTCTCTTGCGGGTTGTCTAGCTGGCAGTTCACCCCGTGTCGAAGCAATTGATGATGCATCGATAAGTTTGAAATTAGATGAGAATCCTCCTGGAGATTTAGATGTCTCCCGATTGTACAAAGGGATAAAGGAAATTGTAATGGATCCAGAGTAGGAAAGAGGGAGACCCGATTTGCATTTTGAAGGTTTGGCAAAGACATCACGCTGAAACATCGTCGAGCAATTACAAAAAAAACCTTGATGTACATCTGTAGGGTTTGCGTATGTGCCACAGCGAGCAACATCCAACATAAATATCGGGGAAAGGTCTAAAATTACAGACCCAAAGCTTGCTGAAAGTCACCACAAATCACCTGAGAGTGTCCGTTGATCTGGAAGGCTATTCCCAGCTACCGGATCGGGGGTGATTAATTTTGAAAGCAATAGAAACAAAACACTATAAGATTGTAGCAGTATGAACAATACAGAATTGTAACCAGGATGTGTGTTGATCATAGTGAAGTGGACACGAGCCTTAGAATAGAAACAATAGAACCAAAGGTTCGGCTGAGTCAAGTGGTGAAGCAATTACGAGCCGATAGGCCATTGAGATGAACTTCGCCGCATATATGATATTAGATCATGCTCAAGTACTCACTCAAGCATCAAACAATAACCAACTGAGTCTCTTAAAAGATGAGAGAATCCCACCAGCAGTAATACCAGTATGTCTACTCTGTTGTCTGAGTTATAACAATGACAAGAGATCCATAGTGGGCCAATGAAGATCCAATAATACAATACAAAAAGCATTCTATCCCGACGCAGTCGCAGTACGAGTAGTTCAAGGAAAGCACGACTGAAGGACGTTTGGTAGACATGATTCGATATCGTATCTGTATTTACTATTCATGCCATTGAAAATGCATTGACCACAACTCGAACTCTGGCAGAATCTAGCAGTGCTTGAAATATATACCCTTAAGTCGTTCTCATAAATAGGAGACATGAATAGGAGAAAGTCTATAAGAAAGACACAAGATCTTGGATTTGATGAATTGGAGATATTGCATCCCCACTATTGTAAGATCTTACTAACAAGCTGGATTAGTAAGCCACACTAGCTGATAGAAGCTTTATTGCCGAGTTGTGGTTTCCCCTATCTCTCGCTCTTTCGTTACCAGTACATATCTACATGAAAGTCTAAGATATTATTTTTAACTTTCTACGAAACACCATGGTTTTATTACTGAAAGAACGGTCACGAAAAGCTCGATAGCTGAAGGCGATATATTTTTGTCGTTGTTTCCGCAAACGTTTCCGACGCAACGCTATGTCAACTTGTTGACGGCTGTTCTAGACTAGGTTACAGCAAACCATCGATTTGAGGATAAGTCCTTTGCTCTTGTCAATATTTTGGTCTAAATTAGACTATATAAAGATATCCCTAGAAATTTGAGGTCGCTAAGCTCTACATATCTAAACTGACTAATAATATCAAAAGTTTTCATCGGAAAAGATAGGATGATATTCAAATTGTGTAATAATTCACTATACAGCGAAAAGATTTGGACATGATTCAAATCAAACCATTAGATTACCATTCTATTGGAATTAGTTCCTGTTCTTTGATATAATGGTACCTCAAATCTCCTTATTTTTGGCACTAACAAAATATCCTTATATCGAGGTTCGGTATGTTATGAATCCATCTACAAACTTTATTTAGATCATTCACTTAGCATTTTGCTCGATACATCTATTCCAGTTATTTCAACACAAGACTATCTCATGATGAATGATTAGCATCATTCAGAATCTAATGGGATCATGATAGCTCTCACTAGAAGAAGTTTCGGGATTTTGCTTAGGCAATCGCTGCCTTATGTTGTGGGTTTGTTCATCTTGATGCTTGTCTTCTACAGTAGTTCAGATACATCACAGCTTAGTCTGTTTTCCAAGACACTTAGTTCACGCCACAGTATCTGTGAGGCGCATGGCTGGCGTCCATACCATCACTCATCTGAAAGACCCCGAAAGATCTACGACCTCTTCATGCTAAGCTCTGAGCTCGACTGGCTCGAGATTCGCCTCAACACGCTTGCCAACTCGGTCGACTATTTCGTCGTAGTCGAATCCAACATCACCTTCACCGGGCTTCCCAAACCTCTACATTTTCTCGACAACCAATCACGCTTTTCCCAATTTGCTCCTCAGATAATCTATCACCTCCTCGAGAACCGACCTTTGACTTCAAGTCGCACATGGGACTATGAAGATCACCAGCGAAACGCCATGTTCACACAAGTGATCCCGCAACTCAACGGTTCCCAAACTGCCAGTGTGGGAGATGTGCTCATCGTCTCCGACATCGATGAGATTCCGCGGCCCGAAACGCTCGAGCTCCTACGGATTTGTGATTTTGACAAACGTCTCACACTGCGTAGTCGTTTCTACTATTACGGTTTCCAGTTTCTTCACAAGGGTCCCGAATGGCCACATCCTCAAGCAACCATCTACGCGGGTCCTACTAAGACTATCCTTCCCGCCGATCTAAGAAATGGCGAAGGCGGCTTCAGACCCTTTACCTATTTTCAAAAAAGAGATTTGACGAATGCGTCTTGGCATTGCTCATCTTGCTTTGCGACAATCTCGGAGATGTTGAATAAGATGGCAAGCTTCTCACATACGAGTTTGAACCGTGAGGTGTTCAGGAGTGAGGAAAGAATTGTGGATAGAGTGAGGAAGGGCTTGGACTTATGGGATAGGGAGAGTGAAGAATACGTTATATTGACGGAGAATACGGATATTCCAAAATGGGTAGGGAATAATAGCGAGCGGTTTCGGTATATGTTGAGGAGGGAGGGGAGAGATGCTGGGTTCGTGGATTACGTGGCCAAGGATGGGGATGTAGAAGGATCTTAAAACAAGGTTCAATTAGAAGGGCTGTATGTATAAAAGCATTTTGTACAATGAAAGGATAGATCTAGATAGATAGAATTCCCTGTTCCCTAGCTCGGTCCGCGCAACCAGTTAGCTGACGGTCAGCATTCCAGATGAAACGAAATACCCGACTCTTAGTTTAAAGATTATCACTCGATGAAATCGTTACACGCTGCGTAGCGGTTTATAAATCTAAAGTACCGCGTCCATGATGTCTACCGCCTGTTTATTCCCATGCCTTCCCAAAGGTATATGAAACAGAATGCATGCCTCCACCCTTTATATATCCCCGTAATTGTGCCACCGTCATATCATACAAATAATTGTTCTGAAAAGACCTATTCCCACTCTTCTCATCTCAGTCATGCACTTATTTCCCCTCCTCGACCGCCACTAATACAACCACACAGATATCATCTGATTTCCCGCCGCTCCATTTCTCATCCGGATATCTTCTCTGAACCTCTCTTGCAAATGGGCCATCCCTCCTCAAACTAAGACTTGCCGTCTTGGCCTCCCCAGTAATCTCAACAGCCAATGAACTCTGCAAACTTAGCACTTCCTTATCTCCCCCCTCAGCACTACCCTCTTCAATCCACTCTCCAAGCCTTTCTCCCACGGCAATTCCTCTATCCCCCATCCCATTGACCCAAGCCCCTTCATTCCTCATCCTCTTACTTACAATTCTGAGAATGTCTCCCCCGCTCAAATTATCCCAAACCCCATCACTAGCAAAAACAACCACATCTCCATGCTTCAACTCCTTACTCAAAACATCTGCATCCCTCGGCGAATCCATCAACTGTTCTCCCCCAAACTTTGCCGCTTGTTTTATCACTGCCTCTGGTACCAAACTCAATTGATACGGCGTGTTAAACGCATGAGTCTGGTATTCCGACGCCGAATGCACAGCTCCCGACCTCAATTGTATATATCCACTATCTCCCAGATTCGCAACTTCCATATTCCCTCCGGAATTGATTATTCCGACAACAGCAGTACTACCCCCCGCACGCACTTTGCCTGACGCACATAGTAGATCATAACCCTTCTGCATAAGCCTTTTCGCGGAAATGGGTGCCTCATCTATTATGTTCGAAACTGAAGCCGTATGTGCCATATACTCACAGATACCATGCGAGAAGTCACTGGGATCGACGCCAGAGTCAACCCAACCTCCTACACCATCTGCGATTCCGAGGGCGATGTCCGAGGTATTAGATATGGGCGCCACGAAGAACGCATCTTGGCCAGAAGCAGGTCTGCGGTCGGCGGGTTTGAGGGGTACTGGTATGGGGTTGTAGGGATTGAAGGTAGTGAGGTTTTTGTTGGGGGAATAGCGGTTTTCTTTGGCGCAGTAGGAGGCTGAGATACCGTATGTGAATTTAGAGGATGAGTAGGTGCGTCGAGTGGTTGAGAAGAGTCGAACAGGTATTTGTTGATTATGCGATTGATTGGATAATGAACACTTGAGAGAAAAGGATCCCGTCGACAATGAGGAATGGTACCGTCGCAGGGGTATAGCAAACGTTCCAGCATCTCTTCGTAATGCCCAGAAAGTCCTGGGAATTTTTGCTGTGAAAGCAATTCCTCCCGTAAGATACGCCATTTCCTAATGTTTAGCTTTGAGATTGGAGATGGATGCTAGTCCACGTAAAAGGACAAATTACAAAAGCCAATGGCCTACAATTTGGCAGATCAAAGAAAAGTTCAAAATACTACCAGCATACTTTTCAATTGAGAGTTATTAAGGGAAAAAATAGAAATCTGTGATATGTAAATGCTTGAATGAATAATTGTAGTAGGTAGGTTGTAAACTTCAATGTTCGTCATTGAGTATCACAATCGGATTATCCGAAGCAATACCTCCGACTATCCGACATTGACATACATCACCTCATCTCTACCAATCATATAACCGAAGATATTCGCAGATTCAGTTTTATTACTATGCTTGCTATGTTACAGCTGAATTTGAGACTTCTACTCGTTAGTGAGTTAGTTCCTCCATTAACCAACCTATGTCCTCATAGGACAACTAATATTTGAGTGTAACGCCATACTATGATGCTTCCCATATATCAATCTCGTCATCTCATGTGAATAACACCGCTGTCATGCAACCTCGCCCCTCAGAAACGCCTTAAAATACATACCAAAGAGCCAGTCACAATATTAGACGTCTTCAAACTTCATATCCTCATCGTCATCTTCGTCATCATCACCAAGGTCTGTATCCTCGCCAGGTGCAATAGCATCGCCAGTACCCTCATAGTTGTTAAGTCTGTTCTCAGGCTTCAATGACCATTGTGTTGCGAATCGACCAGTCTTGGCCAGGAAGGCTATCTTCTCGAGTGTTTCACGAAGATATGCTTCTGGCTGCTGGAGCTCGGCACGCAGTGCTTTCATGGACCAATAGTTATACCTACGGAAACAATCGAAGATCCTATCGAAAAGCTCATTTTGTGGCATACGAGCAGCCTTAGTAAGTTGTGGTTTGCCACCACTAGTTTGATTCTTGGTTTTCTGTTCAAGTTAGTGTATGAATAACATGAAGATACAGGTGCGAATCTTACAATGAACTTGTTGAAGGTTTCTGAGGCCTTGATGGTACCAGGCTGAATGAAACCATGACCCAATTCAATATCCTCATTGAGGAACTTCGTGGCGACTTTGGGTTTCATAGCTTCCAAAGTTCTGATGGCCAGAAGACGGTTTGATTCTTCATTTTGTACAGCAATGCAACTCAATTCATGTACAACCCTACCGGCAAGAGTTGTTCTCTCTATTTTGATCCTGTTAGAAAAGTTTGTTTAACTGGTATTGTGTATACGTACTTGGGATTGCCTTTCGGAATTGAGGTTGGAACTTCTTGTTAGGGTCCCAAGGTTGTTTATTCGCCGGCTTCTCGATCTTTCCACGAGTGAGTCTTGCTGGCATATTCGCAGTCTCCAAAGCGAACTTCTGTCTTGATTTCGACTTGAATCCTGGCAGATCTTTTTCCGAAAAGATGAAAGTATTCTTGACATTCTGATTGGTGATATCAAGATTGTATTCCTTGGGAACAGTCTGATGCTGGGCAATATTGGAATTTAGTAACATGGAATAGGAGTCCTGCAAGTATAAAGTCAGCTTACGCCCAAATGCGCAAAGTATTACCCTTACCTTAACAGTTCCATCGGGCATCCTCTCTCGGCAATTTCGAATGGTACCAATTTGTATTTCCTCATCCAAATCTTCCCCCAGTCCCTCCCATGCATCCCAAACATACTTGGGAACACGACCTAACCATAGCTTTTGAAAACCCGGATCTTGGTTGATCGCCATATCTCCAGCATCCTCATATATATCATCATCCTCCATGAACCTAGGTGAATCGACAGCTGCCTCTGGATCTGGCTTAATGATTATGTCTGCCATTTTGTTTGTATGTATCAATACTATCGGTTATTGAAAACTTAAGTAGAAATTTGGTCTTCACTATCCTCTCTAGGAAGACTTGTATCAGTACTGAAAATGTGGTTTGTAGTTTGTGGTTGTCAGAAACAACAAAGGCAGATTCAATGATGGTCCTTTATTAGTTGACTTTCAATGTATATCGAAAAGTCACAGCCTTGTCGGATAATCAAACCGTACTAGTGCATGCTGACAAATCCTATAACCGCATTGTAACTCCTCTGTGTTCTATTCCTATATGTTGAGTGCAAGATTTCTTCCTTGAACAAACAAATACACCCTTTCTTCGATAACTTCATTCGTTTGATATAACACTTTTTAAAGATCTTGATAATATATCAGATCACCTTTCACATACTAATAAGCAGGAATCCTACCTACATCATGGCATCAGAAGATCAAGCGATCCTGGAACAAATCAGTCGCATAGCTGGTAGGATATCCATCACTATGGATGCTCTTTGTTCATTTCCCAAGTTGAGTGTAGGCTAATACATAACAAATAGGCCAGATCAATCAACATAAGAATTACCAGTCGACAGACTCCCACAATCACACACATTCCTCTTCATCCACAAATAGTTACCATCCACAACCAAATAATCGGGGAAGACATGGAGCTTATGCATTTCATCCTTATGGAAATTGTCGAGGTGCTGGCTCTAGAGGCGCACACTCTACCAGAGGATTTCGAGGTGGACGAGGGGGCGTGGGCGGCATTGTGCGGCATCGCACCCTTGTATTAAATGGCGGTAGTTCTGCCCCACCATCGCAACCGGATTCATCAAATGTAACTCCGTCTGCAGACGAAAACGAGCGGATCTCCTCTGCTGATTACATCACTAAAACCGATCGCCATCTCCAGTTGATCAATAAATCATATTTCGAAAAGGATAGTCAAATTCGAGTCAAAGCCATTGAGGAAACTAGGAGACAAAAACTTAAGCAAAGGGATGAGAGGGAGAAGTTGAAGCTCAGCAGACATTTGCAGCGCTTAGGTGCCCGTTTCGACTCTTCCACTTTACAACCTATCGGAACGAGCAATTATGAGGTTAATGTTAGCGGAATCCGATTCATGGTCACAAAGAATGGTAGCAAACTTGTCAAGGCTTCTGGTGAGAACTCGTCATTCATAGCGAGCCACAAGGTGGTACTGCTATTTGTTCCATGCTCACTTAATTTAGATGTCCTCACTTCCGCAAATGCTACCCCCAAGACCGCTTTGATTGGGGGCGTCAAATTTTATAGAAGTAAGAACGGAAACATGTATCGCGAAGGGATAATTAAAGCCACTAGGTATGGCTAACAAGATGCGATCCCCGAACTGTATTTTTAGTGTGAAATTGCTGACACGGTCAAAGGAAACACGCGGTCATTAAGATCAATGAGCCGTGTAAATCGTTCACCACCACGGGTACCTTTCTTCTCTCCAAATTCTTTTAGCTTTTCAACATTTTGGACACGTTGGAGGAGCAACCTGGGTTTCAGCTAACCGCATCTTATTTAGGTACTTGCAACAAAGGTCCTAAGTGCCGATATATCCACGACCCTTCAAAAGTTGGAGTATGTAAAACTTTTCTTCTCAAAGGTGAATGTCCTAATGGGGATTCTTGCGACCTCTCTCACGACCTTACACCCGAGAGAACACCGACATGCTTGCATTTTGCCAAGGGCAATTGTGCGAACTCAGATTGTCGTTATACACATGTTCGTGTTTCACCAACAGCGTTAGTTTGCCGTTCTTTCGGAATATATGGATATTGCGACAAGGGAAGTACTTGCACGGAGCGACATGTTCACGAATGCCCGGATTTCAGCAACACAGGTACTTGCACTACAAGAGGATGCAAACTTCCCCACCGCATTAAGGCTAGTGTTATTCGTAGGAATGCAGCTGCTGGCGATTCCTCTCCAGGTGATCAGTCTAGTGACATTTCGAGCGATGAGGAAGAAGAGATAGACAGCGACGATGTTGACTCGGATGTCATTGATGAGGAAGTCTTCGGTAATGAGGATGGAGAAAAGGGATCTGGAATTCTCGCACAACAGGATTATATGCACTTTTCCTGATACTAACAAACTTAAAACTCCATTCTGGCGCACCTTTAAGAAAAACAGGGACCCTTGTGGCCTCTTCATTATCAAGATACCCTAAACGATCACGCTTTTTCTTTGTTATTGTTGTTTCCGTTCGCTCGCTACCATTTCTAGCAAACGTCAGTTGCATAGTATTTGCTATTAGGGTTGTAGAAGGCGTCGGATGTTTTTTGGGATACCCGGACTTGAATGTTCTTTGGTTTCTTAGCTTCACGGTTTTCAAATCTCCGCCATTCGGACTGGACATCAAAATAATATTAAGGGAAAATCTAAAAATCACATGAAAATTGCATGAATATCCTTCTCTCCATCATTGACTTGATTCCCTGCCAGTTCATCCCAATTTGTTTCGCGAATACCTACCTATTCATCGTTACAGAATGGTGTCCAATCTATATTCCTATTTTGAACATTGATAACAAGATAGGAGAATACCACTCCGCGAATCGTTCAATTGACGATCTATCTATATTAGTGGAGTGTAAGTAGAACATTTCATAACCCCTCCGATATGCACATTGCACATTTCACATTGCACATGGCTCTTGCTTTGATATACTTACTTGCGTGCTTGCTTGCTTTGACGAAAGGGGCGGAACACAGTACTTGGGCATAATGTACTGACTGTATGAGGGAGAATTCGGTGAAGAGAAGTCTCACTTGGATTCGAAAAAGATTTGCAAATGTTTTAGTTTTTGATGTATGTACCGGTATGTACAAGATGCGCATCTTTGATCGGCTTATCGGCTGACTGTGAGTTCAAAGTTCCAACTGGTTGCCGATCACGAGGATTACTGGCAGCTACCCAGACCCATCCGCAGGATCTTACATGCTGCATCCTACATACATATCTAGCGGTGGCGGTGAAGCTCCTCTGCATGCATTCCACTTTCACTTCAAGACTGCAACTCCCACTGGTCAAATACACTTTACCAAAAGTTGGGAAGTACAGTAAGAACTTAGTTGGGCGGAGTATTTCAGAAGTCAGAGACAATCTCAAACAATTAGATATCCAACTTGAATCCTATCTATAATAAGTTGAGACACAACCAACTGGATAACGGCCGGCGAGCTAAGGTGATCCTGCCAGTGCTTACTAGGCACTCTCTCCGTTTCATGTTGCTTCAGGTGATGTAAGTCAAGTTGGGAAACTTTTCATTCCTAGCATGGTTCCCGTGACCATCTCCCGAGGTGAGGTTGGCATTGGGATATCATGTTAATATGTTTGTTATATAATTGATTTGATGTACTGCAGCAGTGCAGCTGTATCGAAGTGGAGTATATTTTGACTTTTGCCTACAATCTGCACCTTTGGAAGTGTCCGGTACGCTGCAGTACGAGCTCTGCCGGATAGTAAAATGAAAATATTGAAGCAGCGATGGAGCATGGATGGAGTGATTTTCCGCACGCCATCGCTATGTACTGTACTTTACTTTGTACATACCTCCGTACAAAGCTTGCCGTACTAGACTGGATCCCATTTTCATGCCATTGAAGATACCCATGCGGTGCGAGCAATGCGGTTCTCTTGGAGGATTTCTTCTTTTTTGAAGTGCAAGTTGCCACTATTCACGAGTAATGATGTCTTACCATTGCAGCGTACCAATGCAGTGGTCTCACATCAAATCTCCAGATTGAGGCTCCCCCCAACGCTCAAAGGAGCCTCGGATAGTATTCCTCAATATAATGTTAACTTTCCGCGTTGTCCTCTGCTATGCTATATATCTGTCTCAAACAATTGAAGATCGAGTAATAATCCTTCCTATTTCTCTATCACGATATCCACTACTAGACTACCATGAATAATAACAGAAAGCCAAATTACGAAATATTCTACAGCGTTCAACAAGCCTCATACTGTACTCATGCCGCCAGAATGTATACTAAATCGGGTTTGCTAGCACGTGCCACACAATGGTAAACTACAATTTTTAGAGCTCCCGAGTTGCGGATTTTGTGGCGACATGAGTAACACCATAACATACAGTAGTTCGTCTTTATTACGGGCAAGAGTATTGGAAATAGTTTGGTAACGAGATAACTTACCTCGATCGGTAACTCTTGGAAGTGGGGTGGAGATGCCCCTCCCCCCGCTCCAATCGCCAAGCGATTTTTTTGGTTCCTTCACCGCTCTCCGAGTTGCGTAGATCTACGAGTATTTGGAAGAGAGACAATTGTCGAACGATGAGAGGAAAAGAGAAGCTGTACGCGCCGTTGCGTTTGGATTCTATTGTGTCTCAATTATTGGAACTTTTTGTCAAAAGAGAGGTACTACTGTGGACGAGATATATCCCGTTTGGTACCAAGGGGAGGAGATCCTCAAGCGAACCAGTGGTACTTGCCCCTATCTCCAACTTTGCTAAGCAGAGCACTTAACAGTGATCTCATGATAGGTATTTGATAATAGAATTAAAAAGATTAATTGAAGATCTTGAAGATTAGAATGTCTATTCCTGAAATAGTATGAGTGTCTAATCATGAGATACGCGTATCTACTACCAAAATCCTTTCATCCTCAGATAGCACAGCCCGTGAGGTCGCCGGCTAGGGGACCGAAATTTTTTTCCTCAAGCATTCATACGCACAATAATGGGCCTTGAGCTCCCAGAAAATCGATTCCTCAAGATCAACACACCCACTTCGGCACGGTCGTTATGTCTTCGATTCGTATTTACGTACTCCCTTTCCACTTTCAATATCAACTCGGTGTTCTGGCGGCCCCCTCTTCTCCCCTCTTTCCATCCTCCATTCCCAGGATCCAGTAATTCTCCATGCATGTTTCATATTCTCGCATACAGACCATACAATCCATATCCGAGTGTCTGGGTCAGATCTTGATAATACCTAAAGGGTTTAAATCAGTTTTCGTGATCCAAATCTCCTCACACGAGTAACAAGATGCTAGAATGTGCGATCATCAGACACCACAAGAGTGTGTATTTCTTGGCGGTTCTTTTATTATCAGCGTGGTAGAAATCCCATACCATGATGTGTACCGGCGATATACTGCTGGCCATGATACAATGTCCTTCCTCAACAGTATAGTTCCAGCGTACTGCAATTGCCATGATCGCTTCCAGATTACCTAGGCATATTATGACCGGGTTGAGACAATTGAACAGTAACCACAGTAACCACTTGAGTCCTCCCAAAAGAGACAAACCCTCCTAGGAAAGTCTAGACTCCATTTCTTGATTCTTCGGATACTAATCGAAAGTTTTATGCCGACCGAGTACGATTCATCTGGCGGTCAAGCATAAAAGACCAAGAATTGATGAAAACTTTTCCCATACCCAAGTAAATATTGCCCCGCGATAGTAAAGAATGAGGTAAAAAGTAGACGATAATTCGTAGCTCACCGAGCGGTCAACACCGGAATCTCTCCCCTCTAACCTAGACCCGGTGAGACCCCTCCTTAGCAGCTTAGCAGCTTAGCTAAACCGTTCTCTCCCCTACACACTTTCTAGTCTCTAGCAAACTCTTCACGCCACTATCATAACCACCACCAAAACAATAAATCAAATCACCCCGCGCCGACGGGCCACCAAGCGGTCAAACACCGGGAACCCACACATCACGTTTCCGGTAGCGAGGTCCCGATGTGGAGAGTGGTGTACAGTAGCGAGACAAGTAGCGACGGCTACCTGCACCGAGATGTCTTCACCGCACCATCACTGATCATTTTGGGCTTCAACATTCTACCGTATGTATGTACTCTCTGGAATCTAGTGCCGTACTCGGTACTGTAATGCTTGAAATCATGTGCAAAATCTCTTAGCCTATTTTGAAATGTATGAAATGTATTTCTGAAATGGATTTCGATAAAATGGATCGAGAGTGCAAGTAAAAGAGCTGGGGTGAGATCTCATCCCACTTGGATGAGCTATCAATCATTATTTTCATCTGAAAAACATATCGTCCGTTCCCAGTCAATAATGACCCGCAATATCTAAAGCCGACGATACGATAACGGTTGATACGGTTAATATGATGATAATCATCAAGGAAACTCCTCAGATCAATCCAATCTAATCGGCGAATCTCGGGGATTTTGCTAAAGTTTCGTTTCGAACTCTTCAGATCGGACGAACCCACTTTAACTTTTGTAATTTACTTGTTATTCATGCCTTGCTGGGCAATAATATGCTTTATTAGTCGGTGATTTCGACGACCCATATAAAATCTAGAGTACGTCATTGGTCTATATGGAATGTTTTGTTATAATATGGGACATATATTATAAGATTGGCAGGTAGATGGGTACAGTATATTCATATGGGATCGGACAGGTAAATGTTTAGATGGATCGAGGTTGTTGAGAATCGAAGCTCTGCGAGGAAGTCAGTACTGTAGTTAGATTAGAACTGCATAATTTGATTCATGCTAGCAGATTTATATTACTCTAGCCATTCAATAGACTAGTGTCTAGCTCTCCTCGAAAAGTCCCCAAGTCAAGTCGACACAAATGGAAAGATTTACGAGACCCCTCCTTCGCGCCAACCCCTCTGAAACACAAACCTGACTCTCACATCTCGACATCTCAACTCTCACTCGTGCCATTCCAGGAATTCTGAAACACAGACCGACAATCCTTCTCAGATCAGGCTTGTCTTTCTCATGCCTTCTTTCTCATGCTTCTCATGGGACCGTACCATACTTTGTGCACTTCGTAATTTTAGTGGCTTCATTCTGCTCTTCTCTCCGCTTCCTTCCTCCAAAGCTGGGTCTGGATATTCACTTCCCGAATCCCAAGCGGAACATCCGGCTCTCGACATGAGATCCCAAAATAGATGAGCGGTGAAGAACCTGAAGAGGTGAAAATTGTACGAATATTATATGAAAATTCTGCCTTTAACCTTGAAACTTTTGGTAGTTTAAATGTTAGACTAAAACTGTGTAGTTACTGTGGTAAAAAGAGGCATAGCTTGGATGGGGGGGAGATCGCGGCTGCGCGGGTATTCCCATTTGACAGG